TCCATCTTCTCCTTGATGCTGAATGCCTACGTGCGTCCTCACGTCGAATATGCAATCCAGGCCTGGCAACCCTGGCTAAAACGTGACCTTGCAGCGCTTGAGACCCCACAGCGTCGAGCAACGAAAATCGTCAAGGGCTTGCGCCACACTCCTTACCAGGAACGACTGGAGATACTCGGAGTGTTCAGCGCACGGTACCGGCGACTTCGTGGAGACCTCATACTAGTGTACCAGATATTGAGCGATCCCAGTCACGTATGCCGCCACCTCTTGAAGCTCAGCCCAAACACTAACCTTCGCGGTAACAGTTTAAAGCTGAGCCAACAGTACAGTCGTCTAGACTGTCGGAGAACCTATTTCTCCCTCCGGGTCTGCGGGCCCTGGAACGCCCTTCCAAACTCAGTTGTTTGTGCCCCCACATTAGATACGTTTAAAAAACGATTGGACGTCGCACTGAGCGCCCTGCGCTTTGTTTTATGAACGAAAACGCTTGTATATATTTAGGCTGACCAGCCTCTTTGGATTTATACCCCAAATTCACGGTCGTAAATCTGTGCGAACCGGTGAGTACTCCATTTTTATTTGCTACCATCACCAACGATAACAATTTCTTAGCCAGTTTTGCGTCGTACCACTTTATCCCCCTAAAACTGTTATACTTCTACCTTTTATCTCACTGACGCTCCTTACTTCAACCACTTATGTGGTTTGCCAATTTGTCAGTATTTCTATTGCCAACCTGCGGGACTCGTTAAGTGTATGCTTTTTTACCCGTCATATACCATTGTTCCATTGTTCCATTGAACGTCTGCACCTGTATGTTAAATCCAAACGCTGTTGCTCAAGCTGGTGGTCCAGCAGACACCGGTTAGCTTGCTGTAGAACAAATCCAAGATGGCGGACACGAACGGCAGTTGGGCCAATCATTAAGATCTCCGACAGTAGCCGGAGAATATCCACCAAATTCGCACAGATGGAAAAATACACCGAAAGCAAAGTATTGATGCAAAATTCACACGGAGAAAACACGTATAACACAGTATTCCCGAAACAAAAGTAGAATTTAGCACGGTAAAGATATATATCCCATTCGTCACGATAAGCTTCCCAGTTCATTATAAGTGCTCTACCAATCCTCGACTCGTTCACTCGGCCTGACAAAGCTTTTGTGTCAAAAGCGAAACTTTGCTTACAGACTATACCAACCGGTTATTTTCAAACCACTCCGAAAGTATGAGTTCTCAATCGGTTCCAGGCATTTTGCAAGATGTTGACTGTGTAGTTGTGCATGCAGTAATCTGTTGAGGAAGCAGTGAACATCATAGATAATACGTTGCTAGATCGTCTCACCAGCCAGATCGGGGTCTGCAAGTTACACGGTTTGTCCGAGACCTCACGGAACAGGGCTCATGGCTGGTACCGGTGACACGTTTTCTGTTGTCCCAGCGTTCTCGGGGTGATACGATGGATTGAACGGAAAACACCAAAACTATGCCGATACGCAATACCGCCGCTTCATTGCAACGCAATCACCACCAGTCCCAACTAGGCTATGGATACTGCAGTGTTTGCCCAGTCCCCTACACAGGCTCGAACCCATGCCGTCGGATTTCAAGGCAGGTTTGTGATCCTTAAGGACATGCGCCTGTGGTACGATGGATTACAGAGCAAGGCAATGCAAACCGCAACTTTGCCAATACCACCTTTCCAGCACTGTATAAGCAGTTGCTTGCAAATATGTGGCGGTGTCGAATCAGTGTAAATTACTGGTGCTGTGCCATTTTCATCGTTATCGTTGTAGTTTACCACCATTTAAGCCTGGATTTAACTGCCGTCTGGTGCTGCGTGAGATCGGACTCCTTATGGCTAAGGCTGCTGGCTGTTGTCATAAATTGAGCCAAACTCACGTCTACTGGGTGACAGACGTGAAGCCATTTCATGTAACATGGGTGCATATCTATACAACGGAAAGGTTCACAGCGTTTTTTTCTGCCGAAGCCTAGAGTGGTGCGGAGTGCAGTACACTTCAGCGTTTGTCTCTCCGTTCCATAGAGAGTCCTACCGAGTCCTCGGTAGCTCAGTTGGTGGCGCAGTGGACCAGTAATCCGAATGTCCTTGGGTTCGATTCCCCGTCGAGGCAGATTATTGTGCAGTTTAACTGTGGCTTCTACTTCTACAAAAATTACATACGCACAAAACCACTAATACGCTAAATTCCTTTATTTAGGCTAGTACACTTACCTACCAGTTACATCAATTACACAGATTACTAAAGTCGTTAAAACGGGATAAAATCAATTTAGAAGCTGTCAGCCATCACCATTAATCAGGTTGATTTGGGAGTGTTCACGTGACCCAATTGAGTAAAATTCACTATTCGATCGGGCTAGGGTAGCTGTAAGGTCTGAACCAATCGCTTCTGAGTGCACTGGTTCAATTCGTGCAGCCGAATTGCGATAGCTTCAGTAGCTTCTAGTATCCGTTTGCGTATCTACCTCGATCGATTATCCGTCACTTTGTAGATAATTTAGCATGCTTCGGCTGACTTAAGATTATGCCCAGTGCCGGCGAGTTGGGCAGCTATGGCTGTTACATACTATTCCGCATCCAGACGCTAACCATGCCGGATGGTGTCCTCTTAGTTTCTCGAATAAACGATGTTGGTAATATCTTTGCAATATCTTCAATATTCTGAGAGGACTGAAACATCACAAATCTGTCATCGACATAACGGCGGTAGATTTTAGGTTAATTTTAGACTCCCTTGTTCAAGCATGCCTATGAAAAGATCAGCGAGTACCGACCCAAATGGAGAACCCTTTGCCACTCCATCTAGCTGCGGAGCTCATAAAGCGGTGTATTTTACCGCAGAGGTAGAGAAAAATGGCTGATTTCACTTCCTTGACGAAGGTCTAAAAAGACTTGATAGCGGGATATAACAGCCCCACGTACATGGAAAATGCTCGTGAGACGGTTAGTACAGCAAGTTCTACAGCTTCGTGTCACCGTGACTGAAACGGAATTTATTTCATTAGCTAACCAGTGGTGCAAAAAGAATCTGATCGCACGTTACACTTGCTGATGAACTACAGCGAATATGCACGATGCTGCAGGGGAAGAACACACCAATAGTCTTAACAACCAACAAAAAAGCAATTTTCTTTTAGATCCGATAAAATGGGAAGTCGCCACCAAAATTTTTAATCGCCGTCTATCATATGAGCCCAGACGGACGTTCCCAGAAGCAAAATTACAGACCTACTTTGCCGGCCCACCGATGGTGAAGCCCAGTCTCAAGGATAGTAGACATGTCCGCGACAACTCTATATGCATCTATTCATTTACCTGTTCCTGTGGTTCAGGATACATTGGTCGTAAGACTAGGTGTCTATCCGAGAGAATGAAAGAACACTGTCCGGCATGGCTAGCGACCGGATGCAGAAGGATATGTAGCTCAGTCATAGCTGCCCACCTCGCCGACACAGGGCACATCCTTACGTCAGCCGAAACATTCCAACTTCTCTAGAAAGTCCCGGAAAATAGAGCGAGGCAAATGCGCAGACGCATATTAGAAGCCACTGAAGATATCACAATTCGGCTGCACGAATCGAAAATGTGCACTAAGAAGCGATTGGTTTAGAGCTTACGGCTGTCTTGGCCAGATCGAGTAGTGAGTATTACTCAGTTGGATCGCGTGAAGACTCCGACATCAAGCTGATTAATAGCGCAGAGGGAGGGGATGAAAAACTTAGTAGCTAGCGGATATTCGAAACGATTGGTGAAACGACAGCTACCGAAAGGTCTCAACCCACGCGCAACACCAACCACAGAGTGGATAGGAACAGGGGATTCCGTATAAAGAAGGAATTTCGGAAGCGATTCGGAGAGTACGGAATAAGAAGGTAATGATAGTTTTGTAGAAGGGTCAAACGCTATGGTCCACGATTGTGCACCTGAAGGATTCACCCTTTATACAGAACAACTAACTGCATTTACAAAATTCCATAAAAAGATTGTACACAAGTGTGTATAGGCCCAACAGCGAGGGAATTACGTACAAGTATTTCAGGACATAGGCGACACATAGCACGGCCTCCGCGAACTGAGCTAGAGTATAGATCTCTACTCAGAGACTCAGTAATAGCAATGAATGCGCTAGACACGGGGCATGAAACTGGCTTCGAAAATGTCGGGGTTGTCAGGAACGGAGTATGATCGATCAAACAAGGGCTGATTGCTGAGGATATAGAAATAACCAAGACTAACAACTGCGTGAATGGAATAGACGGAGTAGGGTGGGCTAGTGTCTGGCATCCAGTCTTACTCCGTCCAGGTTGAGAAGCATCGGCGGATGGATCCCAAATCGGAATGGACTATCAACGCTCCCTCCGCTAAATGCCTAAGTACTAAAGATAAGTTATATCAGTGACCAAGTTCCTTGCAACGGACCATTTAAGACTGCTGACAACACTTGTAACTATCCGCTGACCAGCAATTTCTGTTCCCCATGTGGCCCTGACTGAAACAAACCACAGGGTACACACAAGCCTAGTGACCTTTTACCTCAGTAACCTTTCATTGATGAACTGCAAATTGATTAGCCTCTGTATGTAGCTTAACCATGATCGTTATAAAATGCCAATGTTAAGCTAATTCACTTCGCCTAACGAAGGTTTTGTGTCAAAAGCGAAACGTTGCAGATCATCAGAAATATATTAACCGGTCGTCTAGCAATTCTTTTGAAATGATTTTACCCCATTTTAACGAGTTTAGTGGTCCAGTTGTTGTAAATGGTATATAATTGTACTAGCCCGAAAAGGAATTATAGAAAACATATGTTCCCTAACACCTTGCCTCGGGCTGTCTTCGAGGACAAAGGTCTCGAGATCGGTCACATCAAGCAGTTTAGATGCTACCCGATATGACGAACGCAGTAGAGTGAGCAACGTCTGTTATGCCCATTCTAATTGTGGTTTGTCGTCCAGTGACTTTATCTTGTTTTAATGTTTTGCGCTCCTTTTTACCTGAGTTTCCTCTTTCGCGTGTGTTTTGCTTCTAAAAATGCATACAGACAAGTTCACATGCTCACCGGAGACCCCACGTCTATCGCTGGTTACTGTGTCGTGCTTGTGTCGTGGCCGTGAAATGCGTTCGTGGTCCGCTACTTTTGGCGGATGAACTTGTTCCGGACGATAGTTTCCGCGCGATCCACCATGACTTCTTCCACTGATACCACCTGGAGTAGAATACTCTGGCAACGACAAAGCACCGGGGCTAAGTAGACTTCCGCGACGAGGGTGCCGAAATTGAACGGGTGGGGTGGCTGAAAGGTACAGTTGGTAGATGGAAGCGGAAAGTGAGTTGCCATCAACTCAGTACGTTTAAATTCACATACCAAGCAAATGCCACATGCACGGATTACATAGGAACAGTCACCTGCCTACACTACCGGGTTAAAAATACCCGGTAGCTAGCACATTGGGTAAAAACCCCATCTCTAACTACAAGCAGCCCACCTACATCGTTACACAAATTAAATGACAACAAGAACTTCTCTCCTGAGTGGTCAACCGGTAAATTCAGCTGAAAATAATCAACTTTAAGTTTGAAAATATGGTAAAGCAGCTACTTTTTGTGGTGAATGGCGCGAACTGGTTAACCAAATCAGTGGAGTTGTATTAATTGTGTTGCTACACACTACTCCGGGATCCATACCTCATACCTTAAAATTTAGATATGAAGGGAGCTCATCGGTAGGTTGATCAAGTGTCTTTAAAATGATGCAAAATTGTCGCAGTGATCAGTTACGCCATAGGCAAGACTACGTGTATTGGCTTGGATCACACTCAACAGACCACTTCCCAGCTGGGTGACCTTGGTGTGCTGGTACAGAGTGACCTCGACTATTCACAACAGTCTAAGACATCTGCGAAAATAGACAAACAGCATGTCAGCATGCTGCGGATAGCATTCGGAAGTTTTGACTCCTTCATCTTCCCTACATGCGCCCTCACGTTGAATACACCATCCAAGTTTGGAGACCTTGGTTGAAGCGTGACCTAGAAGAGTTGGAGTCATCACAACGAAGGACAACGAATAATGTCAAGTGCCTACGTAATCAAACTTACAGACAAACGTTAAAGTTGCTGGGAGTTTTCAGCGGGCGCTACCGAAGACTGTGCGGCAATCTCATATTAGCGTACCAAATATTGGGTGATCCCCTCCACGTATTCCGTCAATTGCTCAAACGTAACCATAATATCAAGTTCATAAGTAACTTGAAAAGCGCGGTAAGAAGACGAAAACTGGTAGATACATGCATTTCGCATTGTCTCCTCAGTACCATTAACAGTAACCGGTCTGCAACTATATACTTAAATATGCGTGTGACCGAATAAGCATGAGGTGCAAAATGAATGACGGAAATTCCATCCCTATGTTCACGGCACTATTAAGCTGATAAATAATTGATTTTGAACACACAGGGTAGGTTTATTGCTTGAAAATAAGTGAACCATACAGCCGTGTAGAATGCTGACGGAATTACTTTTCTCCTCCGGCTTGCCAACCTTAAAACTTTCCCAAGCTCAGTTGTTTCCTCCCTAACTTGGGATATCTTCATTAGGATGACAGCTATTAGACATTCGTTTATTGTGAACGAGCTTGATAGCTATTCTTTACTCTTCCTATTTTCTATTTCTTGAATATTGTTTAAACGCTCTACTGGGTTCGCCCGATTGGTACATCCGCGTCATTGTTAATGGACGCTCATCATCATGCCCATCCCAGCAGCGCTGTTTGCAAGAACATATTCTATTGGTTTTTTTCTTCTCATCACTGTTCTACTTGGTTATGTTAAAGGAATATTTAGTTGTCACACAATTATTGTATTAGTTTTCAACTTTTGGGTCTGCATTCCTTATTCTCGGTTGTTGCGTGACTTTTGTTTAAACGTTTCATTTCGTCATTCTGATTGACCAGTGCTCGTCACTGCAAATGGTCGTTCGCTTTACGCTTGGAGTCCAATGATACTATTTTTAAGGACCTATGCGATTCGCTCTTGAGTACACGGTTACTTATTCGCCGTTGCATTTGACGTTTTTCCTTCAGTTGGTTGGCTCAAGTGTACTTTAGCAGCTTCCCTTCATTTTGCCTTCAAACTACTGTGATTTCATGTATACAAGTCTCCTTCTGGCTCGTGTTGGAATTCTTCTTGCGGTCGTGGAGTGAAGGCGTCAGAGGCGACACAACAATTTTCAAAGAGTGGATGTTTTTGACCTCATCCGCCTAATGTGTCCTACCTTGGAACATGTTCCTTATGCCTTCAAGCCGGATGTATATGTCACATAAACCTAGCGAGGCGATATATGAGTGAGTATTCTGGAACAATGAACAATGATGTGTCACGGGTAAAAAAGCATGTGCTTGGCAACTCCCGTAGCATGGTTGGAATTAAAATTCAAATGGAAAGAATCCCATACAATAAAGTGCGATTATAGTTCCGTAAATGCGTGAGATAGAAAAAAGGAAACGACAACGCTCATTCGTTTGTCGCCGCTTTTGACAGATGTGGCATGTTAATCCAGTTTAGATACATCCAGGCTAATCACATGGACACTTCTGCATGTATCCTCACCGCCACGTTGCGCAGAGGGCCATTAAGCACATGGTTAGGTTTGCGTTATTTCGTCCTCCGAGTGGAAGGGACTATATCAAGTAATGCAAGTTGGAAAGCGTGTCGTCAAGGCGACTTTTGAATAACGGGACAAGGATGACGTGAGTTGGAAGGGCATTCCAAGCACGGGACACACGAAGCGAGAAAACGTTGCGTCGACAATCAAGTCGACTGTAGTGCGTAGCCAGTTTGAGCTGATGGCGGCTCTGATTGGAATTTTGGCTCGGCTGCAGCAGATTTCGACATGGGTGAGTTGGGTTCGTCAGCATTGAATGAACCCTGATGTGTTCTTCTCGCTGACGTTGATATTCACCACTGTACAATCTCAAGGACTGCAGTCTGCGTTGGTAGGAGAGATGAAACAATCTTCTAGCGAGTTTGGTCGTTCTACTTTGTGGAGCTTCAAGTGCATCGTCGTCGCGCTTGCGCCAGGGACGCCAGACCTGGATCGCATATTCCATGTGAGGTCTAACGTAGGCGTTAAGCATTTGCGGAGGAATTTATGGCATAAAATTTCCGAAAGCTCTCCGTAAGAGTCCAAGATGTTGACTGGCTCTTTTCGATGCCTTTTCAGGCTGTCTCGGGCAACCAAGTTCGTCCATGCACGTCACCCCGAGGACGCTTATTTGGGAGGCACGTTGTAACTTAGTTCATAGAGTACCTCAGCTATAACTGTCCCCATGTGTTTTCGGTGTTTGTGTTTGATTCTTATGTACTCTGATGTTACGCAGCAGTGTATCTGCTGCATAAACGCTCAAACAGACAACTCAGATACTCGATATTTTGGAACATATTTGAAACCGATCTTGGGATCTTGTACTTGTGGCCTTACTATCCTGCGGGACTTGCCAAGAAACTGTTTTAGTACGCGTGATAAATCATTGTTCATCTTTCCGGTAAAATTGGACAACAAGCTGAGCGAACATTTTAGACAGCCAACGGAACTAATCCTCAACGCGAGGCTAGGCGTGAATGATCGATCGGTTTAACTTCCACTTATATCTGCTCAGTCAATCATATCAGGCTGATACTGAGGTGTTTTGTAACACTTTTCGAAGCACCACGGATTCCGAGGAACAGCTTGATTCTTCTTCAGCTCGGAAGCATAATCGCACACCTGTGGTAAGCGGTTCTTGAGCTGTGAAACTGGTGGTTACAATAACTGCTTTTTCCGAGCGATCTGAGAGAAAAGTTTTCGATTTCAGCCTTCTTTTTACACGTTCAATATTCACGTATGCCATCTTGAAATATCTGCATCATAATAGGTTCAATTCAGCGGTCAATAAGTCGCTACCGTTTGGGGGATATCACTCCGTGTTTTCACTCAATCGGGTTAGATCGTCTCATCTTTGTCCAACTCATAGCTGCCGTTGAAATCAGTGTGTACCCTTAGGCTCGAAGTAATTCGTAACCTTCTTATCGGTTCAGGAATAGTCCGGAGTGGGTCCATGTACAAATACCTTGGAGGTTTATGAATAGTTACTTTAAGCTCAGGCAAACGCAGAAGAGAACGACGCTTGCCTTATGAGGTATGACTGTGAGCCATTACTCTTAGAGAAGGATGAGTATCTAGGACAACTTGTTCTTATAGCATTTAGGTTAGTGCTGAGACCCGGAAACGCAGATGCTCTCATTTACTTAATAGTACTCAAGGCCTCATGCAAGTGATGAGTCCCGATTTGACAGTAGTAAAAAATAGGCACTTTCAGAAGATTCACGACACCTGAAATCATTCAACCCGCAGTAGGGAGAGTGTTTGACGATCGCTTCAGGCTTTCACAATTCACACACATTGTGACTATGGGGCTTTTGGAAGTTCGAACCCACGATCACCCCCCCCCCCGAGCGATGATAGATAAAGTCACTGAACTCGGCTACGGTAGTGATCGAATATATAAAATTGATAAGCTTCCTCAAAACCCAGTCAGAATTAATTCTCCTCTTACTCATCCGTTTCTCCAATGCAATTTACAAAACGACGATCTCCTGATGAGATATATTCGTCAATTAGACCATTACCTAACCCAACGCACCATCAACGTGGGCTCATTCCGCAGCAGATAATCAACGAGGTAGAGGACGGCGCGAAGTTGTTTCAGAGACATTGGTGTTGCAGTGGGAGCGCGGCAGCAGCTGTTACTGAAGAAGAGATTGGGCACAGTTTCTGGAGACTGTCAGGCCACATGACTCCTTTTGTGCTGGTAGTCGCAGTTTAATACGACAACCTTACTGAAGCAATTCCTACAGTTGCACTGGTAGCATTTCGGAAACGCGCCAAGATTCAACTAACTGAAAGTCTCACCTTGGCAGTAAAGAATCGCCTTCACGTCTGCGTATGTGAGCATGTCACTTTGTATAATCGTTACATCGGACTGAACACGCAGGTCCTGTCATAAGTGAAAAAGTTGTACTGTGAAATCCTTGAATGTGTCTTTGGTTAGAAGCTATGTATCATTGTTATAAAATCGATGGACTAACTGCAATTTACTACGTTTTAAAATATCAGGGGTACAAGTACGGATGAAGGGTACTACACGGCTAGCCCCATGTTCGGCACGGAGCCACCTATCAGCTCCTGGAATGAATGTTCCCAAATGCTTACTTCCCATTGAGATGTCCAGTTTCACTCCACTTACTTCCAGATGCAG